CTGAAGATTTAAAAGTATGGGGGAAAACATATAAGAATTCGTGTTTTAATTTAATATAAAGCTTGGGCCTCATACTTTCAAATGATATTTACTGGACCTTTACTAAATACTATTTACAATAATAGGTGCTTTTATTTACATCAATAAATCTATGGCCCTGGGAGTAAATGTACCTTTCTAGTTTCACACAGCGTTTGGTGATAAAGTCTTCTGACTCTAACTGAACCTCTGCCCTACACAGTACCTTATCCTCTGCCATGCTAACTAGTATGAAAGGGCTGGTAAGAGTCCATCTGAAAGGATTTCTAAAGTTTTTATTTTTAGTCAGAATATTTCTTTCTTCATAAATTTTCTTTTATGACCTGAGAGCTCCTTCCTGGCTTTTAGGACTATGAGATCTTGAGGACTCTCCTTTTGAATGATCACCATCCTCTCCAGAGAGTGAACCAAGAGCTGGAGATATGTCATCATTGGCATTCAGATGGGGATGAAAATGCAAGTGTGATAAACCAGCTGTCCTTTTTAGGAGGTCTTGGTCCTTTGAGCACCTGATAAAAGTTTTGGACCTTCTCCACAGACGAACACACACAGTGTTTTGCATATATTTCAGGGGATACATGAACTCTAGGTTAAGAAACCCTATTCTAGATACACAAAGAATGGTATATGGAAGATCCCTGATGTGTGGATCAGAAGACAAGAGTCTACTTCAGGCCCCATGACTGGCCACGTGTGTGATAAGTTGCCTAGCTTTTTTGGTTTTCTCTTTCTTCATGTGTGATAATCCAGGTGGTGCCCTTTCAGCTTTTAACATGGAGGCAGCATGGATTAGTTATATGACCTGGGTTTAAATACTAGCTGGGCGTTTGTTAGTCTTGTAAAACTGGGCAAAATTTTTCATCTATCTGGGCTCAAATTCTATGACATGGCGGTCTTCCTAACCTACCGGTCTTAAAAGAATTTTAGTTTGGATCAAATTAGACAGTTTCTGTGAAGGTACTTTACCGTTGAGTATTTCCTTCCCAGTGGGTGTTAGCCACCCCTTCTCTGTGCTCCCATAGTACTTTCTGTGTACCTCTCTTATTAGTTAACACGTGGCTTTGTTATCTGTCTACTTGCCTGTCTCCTGGTAGCCTATGAGCTGCTCCAAGACAGGTCCCATATATTCTTTTTGGTTTGTGTTGATGGTACTTGTGCCTGATATACATGTTAAGCATTCAGTTTATATAAATAAATGTTAATATAGAAATTGATAGCATGGTTGTGATTTAGGAAGACATTTTAAAGTTTATTGATAGTACTCAGTTAAGAGATGTTTAAATCAGTTAGAGAATGTTTCAGAAAGCCAGAATGAAGGCACAAGTAATAAAGCAGAGGCATCTTGAAAAGAGGGCAGAGTAGCTCAGGGCCTTCCTGCTTCTCATCCCTCCCTCTGGAATGGTTTTCTCCTGCTTGTATCATACCTGACTCCCTCTTATTCTTTAAGTCTCAGCTTTAGTGTCACCTTTTCGGAGAGATTTTCCCTGACCACCCTAGCTAAAGTAGCTTCCTCTCTTCCCCATTAATCCCTGTTACAGATCCATAATTATTTTGTGTTTATTTAATGTCTTTCTCTTGCTTTAATACGAGCTCATTGAAAGAAAGGAAGATACTTGTCTTTTTCACTATTGTATTTCTAGTTCCTGTCACATAGAAAGAATGCACCATATATGTTGAATAAATTAATAAAAATTGGGGGTGCAAACTTAGAACTTGGGTCTAAATTATAGATTGAGAAACAGCTGTTTTTCTGTTCCATGACTGTGATCACACTTTATTGCATATTTGGCACCTAGCACTAGGGTGGCCAACCTTCTCAGTTTGCCCAGTACCAGGAGGCTTTCTGGGACTTTCAGACTAGAACGGTGAACATGAAGACTGTGACAAAATGTCAAACTAGTTCTTTGCCTGCTGCCTTTAGTAGCTGTGTTCTTAGTATTCCTGATATCATAAGTTTCACTCGTAGACATTTAAGATAAAATTGGAAACAAAATTATCTAGTTCAAGAAATTACAGGCTTATCTAGCATATCTATCCATAATGGATATTTCCTCTAATGGTTTTCAGGTTGATCTCAAAATAGTTAAATATTTCAATTTGCTGTCTTTAAAAGACAGTTATCAGTTTAAAAGACAGTTCTGTTATTCAGCTATCAATGCTCGGGGATATGTGTATTTTAATTAAGTTTGATTTATCACTGCAGGGGGAACACACCTGAAACTAGAGGAACAGCTTACGTGGTATATGAAGACATCTTTGATGCCAAGAATGCATGTGATCACCTATCAGGGTTCAATGTCTGTAACAGATACCTTGTGGTTTTGTACTATAATGCTAACAGGGTAAGTATAGCAAAGTTCTCTTCCTGTGGTGAGCTCATTTGAAAATTAGTGTAGACTGTACAGTGATGGGAAGTGTGGACTGTTCTTTTTCAGCTAATGCTATTGGTGAAATTCATTTGCCTGTAGATTGGTAACTGCTAACTTTGGTGCTTACCATGTTTCCAGGCATTTCAGAAGATGGACACAAAGAAGAAGGAGGAACAGTTGAAGCTTCTCAAGGAGAAATATGGCAT